CCGCCCGCCCCGGGCCCGGCCCCCCCCCCCACACACACACACACAAGGCAGCCAAGCTTCAGGGACCACAGGCCCAAGCATCAGTTGATTTTCCTGGTGTGTCCTGGGCTGAGCAACTTCCAACTCTGAGGCTCACGGCCTTCTAGGATGGGGAAACTGAGGCTCAGCTTCCTTGGATGCTGGGAACTCTGGCCTCTCTGCCATGGCCGCCAGGCTGAGTCAGCCCGAATGATGTAGGAATCCACCACCCCAAACCTCAGAGTCAAAAGACTGCGGGGGTGGGTGGGGACCCCAGCCAGCCAGCATGCTCTGAAACTGCCTTCCAAGCTGACCACCCACGGTCTGGGGCCTGGCCTCCAAGCGCTGCTCTTGGGCTTTCCTGGAAGTCCTGCATATTAGCTGACTCCAGTGGGTCCAGCTGCCGCAACGGCAAAAAAGAAGGCTGGAAAGCAGGAAGCTGGGGATGTTCCTGCCCAGCCGGGTGAGCCTCCCTGGGTGGAGCATCTGATCTGAGTCTCCCAGCATCGGGATGGGGATTGGGTCTGTGAAGGACGCCATGTTTAGGTTCTAGAAGGTGGTCCTTAGCACAGCAGCGAGGAGGCCAGTCTAGGAGACACACAGAAAGGAGAGGGTGGGGCTATTCTTTTGAGAACCCCAGTCTAGAGTGGGAGGATGGAAGAGAAGGGACTGTGCCCTTAGACAAACTGGGCAAAGGGGCAATTGTGCCTTGGAGACATTCCCCTGCCACCCAGTCTGAGGGGAAGAAGGGTAGGAGTCCACTCCCCGTGAGCCAGGCCTGGGCTTGCAGCAGCCACTCTCTTGCCCGCCCTCCTCAGCCCATGTGACCAGCAGACCCCTCTCTGCCTGCTAGGAACCCAACACCCTGTGCCCATTCTGGGCGCGCCAAGCATCAAGGTGACACCATGGGCAAATCTAAACACCGCATCACGCTTTTTCCATCTTCCACGGGGGCTCCTGGAAAATTCTCCCTCGAGCTCTGGCCAAAGGCTTTACGGCCCCAGGACCTAGGTCCCTGGGGACCCAGCTGTGCCCCAGCAAGCGCCGGTTTTGGGCTAGATGGTGTTGGCGCCTGCCCCAGACCTATCCCCCGCTGGGAGATGGGCAGCGTGGATATTTTTAGCTAGTGAAAGGAGATAGTGGCTCTGAGTTCACCCTGGTGGGAGCTGACCAGGCCCGAAGAGGTCTGTTGGGTGAGGGAGATTTGGACCACTTGGACCTCAGTTTTTCCATCTGCACTGTGGCTCAATCTTTCCTACCCAGAAGGACACCTTGCCGGGGAGTAGGCTAGGACTCACCTGGAAGAGGCAAGAGAGCCTGTAGAGAGATGCGAAAGAAGGTCCCTGTGGACATCCCCCATTCAGCCCCTCTTCCCTTTCTGTACGCCTGAAAAAAGCCGTCTTTCTTTCCCCCGGGCCCAAAGCAAATGGGATCCTCCCACCATAGCGCAGGTGGTACCCGTCCCCCTCTTCCCAATGGAAATGGCGTCTCCTCCCCGTAGGCCCTCATGCTGCAGCGCCGAATCACAACCCCGGCTGGATTTTCCACACTTTATCTTGGTACAGTTAACGCGAGAGTCCTGAGCCCTGGACGGCATCTCCTGCGCGTGGGTAGTCTGTCGCGGGGCTTGCCAGGCGGGACCGTGGGTGCCGTCGGGGCGGAGGCCGTGGCCGCCATCTCTCCGGGCCGGCTGAGGTAGGGTCACACGCAGGCGCACTCGCGCGCCGACAGCTCGTGGACCGTGTGGTAGCGACTGTGCGTGTCCAAAAAGGACACTTCGTCCTCGTAGGCCGTCGGGCGGCAGCAGGGCTGAGCGCGCACACGCTCGCGCCGCACTCGCCGCCGCTGGCGCAGGCGCCGCAGCCCCAGGTCGTAGACGCGCGCGGCCGCCTCGCACGCGCCTGCGCAGTAGCGGAACAGCACTGTCTCTTCGGACGCGTAGCCCAGGCCCAGCTCGCTCACGCGGACCTCGAGCTCGCGCAGCCCGCACGGCCGTGTCCCCGACCGCGCACGCGCGCGTCGCCGCCGGGGCCCCGCCCGACGGCGCGGACCAGGGGACCGCCCGGCCCAGGGCGTCAGTTCTCGAAGTTCCACCGCGTCCGGGGCGCCCTGCAGCAGTGCACGGTCTGCGAGGGGATAGAGAAGGGCCGGGGGGTCAGTGGGTGGATGCATGGGAAGGAGCGCCATATCTACGCTGTTCCTCTGCGAAGAGGGACCTGGTGGTGACTCAGGTGCTAGTGCACCCTCTCCCGACCACATCTTATCTTGCTCCCTGATTCCGGCTCATGCACCCTTTCTGGGAGGCGTGTGTGTAAGGGAAGGGTTGCATATCCAGGCCCCCAGGCTAGGTCCCTAAGGCTAAGAGCACTCTTCTCTGAAGCCTACACCTAAGATGGACTGCCCAGAACCATTTCCTGTACCACATACCAGTCTGCCCCAACTTGAGCTGAGCCGACCCGGTGTCTGTCTCCCTGTGGGCACACCCCTCCACCACTCTCTGTGGACCCCATCCCTATGCAGGGCAGCACTGGAAATTCCTCCCTTGTTCACTGAACTGCTCTCACCTCACTGGAGAAAAAAAAAGGAGGGGGGTCACTCAGCAGGGGGTGTAGTGAACCAAATCCCGGTCCCTCCTGGGCCCCAGCTGTCCCCACCCCATGCTGGTTGCCCCAGGACACTGGCACGTGCTCTCTGAGCAGTGTTGGGGGCCTGCTTCCCACAACGCCGAATCACAACCCCGGCTGGATTTTCCACACTTTATCTTGGTACAGTTAACGCGAGAGTCCTGAGCCCTTGACGGCATCTCCTGCGCGTGGGTAGTCTGTCGCGGGGCTTGCCAGGCGGGACCGTGGGTGCCGTCGGGGCGGAGGCCGTGGCCGCCATCTCTCCGGGCCGGCTGAGGTAGGGTCACACGCAGGCGCACTCGCGCGCCGACAGCTCGTGGACCGTGTGGTAGCGACTGTGCGTGTCCAAAAAGGACACTTCGTCCTCGTAGGCCGTCGGGCGGCAGCAGGGCTGAGCGCGCACACGCTCGCGCCGCACTCGCCGCCGCTGGCGCAGGCGCCGCAGCCCCAGGTCGTAGACGCGCGCGGCCGCCTCGCACGCGCCTGCGCAGTAGCGGAACAGCACTGTCTCTTCGGACGCGTAGCCCAGGCCCAGCTCGCTCACGCGGACCTCGAGCTCGCGCAGCCCGCACGGCCGTGTCCCCGACCGCGCACGCGCGCGTCGCCGCCGGGGCCCCGCCCGACGGCGCGGACCAGGGGACCGCCCGGCCCAGGGCGTCAGTTCTCGAAGTTCCACCGCGTCCGGGGCGCCCTGCAGCAGTGCACGGTCTGCGAGGGGATAGAGAAGGGCCGGGGGGTCAGTGGGTGGATGCATGGGAAGGAGCGCCATATCTACGCTGTTCCTCTGCGAAGAGGGACCTGGTGGTGACTCAGGTGCTAGTGCACCCTCTCCCGACCACATCTTATCTTGCTCCCTGATTCCGGCTCATGCACCCTTTCTGGGAGGCGTGTGTGTAAGGGAAGGGTTGCATATCCAGGCCCCCAGGCTAGGTCCCTAAGGCTAAGAGCACTCTTCTCTGAAGCCTACACCTAAGATGGACTGCCCAGAACCATTTCCTGTACCACATACCAGTCTGCCCCAACTTGAGCTGAGCCGACCCGGTGTCTGTCTCCCTGTGGGCACACCCCTCCACCACTCTCTGTGGACCCCATCCCTATGCAGGGCAGCACTGGAAATTCCTCCCTTGTTCACTGAACTGCTCTCACCTCACTGGAGAAAAAAAAAGGAGGGGGGTCGCTCAGCAGGGGGTGTAGTGAACCAAATCCCCGTCCCTCCTGGGCCCCAGCTGTCCCCACCCCATGCTGGTTGCCCCAGGACACTGGCACGTGCTCTCTGAGCAGTGTTGGGGGCCTGCTTCCCACACCCCAACCCCCTACTTTGGTTGAGCTGTCATGGGTCTCTCACTCCCTCTCTGGGATCCCCACCCAAACCTCTGCATCTTCTCTGAACCTCTGGCCTGTTCACAACACCTCTCCCTCCCCGCATCCCTCCTGCTCCACCGTGTAGCGGTACTCAGTTTCCCCTTTCACCACACCAGATGAGGCGTGTGAGCTTCTCAACATGCACAGGGGAGCAGCAGCCACTGAGACTGTGTGTTGGCCCTACCACATGGGGTGACTGCAGCTTCTGTCAGGGGCTCCCCCCATTTACCGGTGAGGGAACCGGGCATCCAGAGGGGCAAAGAGGTGCCTAAGACCACACCACTGGCAGGTGGCAGAGAGAAAACCAAACAGTCTTCCCACTTCCATCCTGTGCCCAAGTTTGGTGCACGTCCAACCCTCTCCTCCCACAACTGCCGGGAGGTGCCCTGAGCCATAGATTCCCAGGGCTCCACGGCCTAAATTTATTTCCCAAGCGGCTGGTCCTGCCCCAGTGCTCCTCAGCCCCAGGAGAGAAGTGTAGACGTCGGAATGGCAGGCAGCGCTGAACTGACACTGGGTCTGCAGATAGGGGGATCCCAGCCCCTGAGCAGGTGACACTCACTCTTATGGTTGAGAGAGGAAATCCGGAGTTTAAGCTCCCACCTGCCCCCAAGGCTGGCGCACCTGGCTGTCAAAAGAAATAGCTTCCTAGGAGGCCCAAGGGGGAAGGGCTGTCTGTCACCCTGGGAGCTGTCTGCTCCCATGGCGGGTCTCAAGAGCAGACAAGCCCCAGTTCTGAGCCTTGCTCTGCCCACTCTGAGCCTTGTAGTTTCAGGCAGATGACAACCCTACTTTCGTTGCACCCGTTGTACCCTGCTGTACCCTACTTTCATTGTTTGCTCAGTGAGACTTGCAGAGTCCCTACTTTGGCTGGGGCTGGGAGGGTAGAAATGGGGGGCCACCCAACAGCATCTTCTGGGAGATGGGTAGGAGTAGGGTGGCAAGCACTGCTTGCTCTGGGATCAGGGTGAGCCTAGCTCACTAACGATGCCTAAAATTCCACCAGTGTGCCCACCCCAAAGATGTGTGTCTAGAGTTAATTCATGGGATTGTCAGGTTAAGATACAGATCCCCGGTTCAGTGTGAATTTCAGATAAACAATAATCTTCTAGTATATCTGTCTTTCCAGCAGGCCTGGCCATGTGCACAGGGTCTGGAACACAAGGAGATGATGTCCACACCTCCCTGGCCCAAACCTGAGATTCCTCCATCAGTGCATTAATCCCAGAACCTAGAACACTGGGATTCTGGGGTATGGAAATCCATGTCCTTCCTCCAGTGGGACTGGATCCGGGGACAGGATGCAGGGCAGGCAGGACCCGACAGTGGGCCAAGATCCTCCCCGGTACCTGAAATTCCACCACTGGGCCTTTGCCCCCAGGGCCTGGAGCACTAGCTTTGGGGAGCCTGGGTCTCTGGGACCCAGTGTCCTGGGAAGGATTTAGCAGCCTGAAGCGGGGAGTGGTGGGGGCGGAAGTGGAGCTTGCGCCGGAGGCCACCCTTGTCCATTGTGAAGACAAGAAAGAAGGACTGTGTGGGCCGGCAGGGCGGGTGCAGACTTGCACACAGGCGTGCATGCACCCCCTACCCACGGGGCCCACGCACGCTCCCCTGCTCACACCTAATCCCCATCCACCCACATGGATGCACGTGTGGACACACCCGTGCACACACTAAGTCAGGGCCCACACATGGCTCCGGCCCCACAGACCCTGCCCGGCAGGCATCAGGGGCGAGTCGGGAGCTGGACCATGCAGCCACACCCCCCAGGGTTGGCATTTCCACTTTTCTACCTCCTAACCTTTTCCCACATCGTTCTCGCCCATCCTCTGTTCCTCTATGTCTGTCTTTCTCCCCATTTCTAGGACTCGTCCTATTTCTAGGTCTTTCTCTGCCTCCCCTGTCCCCGCCCCCGGCAGGTCACTAGGGCCTCGGGTCCAGCCTCCCTCTTCCTCCACCCCCCCACTGTGCTGCAGGGGCCGCCCAGGCCGAATGCCCAGGTCTAATCTCCATCTGGCCCCCGGGCCCCTCAGGGCTAGAGCCTAATTCCTTGTGACAGCTGAGCCGAGGGACCCCAGTTCCCAGCAACCATCCCCTCTGACACCCCTGCCAGGCCGTTGAGGGGATTTGCACCCTCCCTCCACCCCATCTAAAGTAAGCCTCTGTGGCCCCGCTCCACTGTGTACAACATTCCACTATTATGGTCGCTGCGATGTTGGGGGTATCTGACTCAAGACAGGGGGCGGGGGAGGGCTTACACTGGGCCAGACGGGCGATTCGGGCGTCCAGGGTGCGAGGTGGCCGGCGCAAGGGGGCCAGCGCAGGTCCGAGGCGGTGGCCGAGGAGCAGGCCCTCCCGACACATCCAGATGGAGAGCACGGAGCTGCAGAGCACCGAGGCCAGGGCCGCTGCCTTCCAGCGCTGCATCCTCAGCCTGCGTCCACGGGGTGGTCAGCCACACGGCCTCCGTCGTCTGTCTGTCAGGCAACAAACGATCGGGCACAGGGTGCTGGACCAGCTAGTGGGGATACGGTGGAGCCCCTGAATTGGAACCACTCCTGCTTAATGACCAATAATAATATAGAAGGGATTCATCTAGGAACCACTGAACAAGGTTGTGGGAAGTGCTGCCAAGGAGGAGGTGGGCACTGCGCCAGGGGTAACCTGGGAACCGCCCCCATCTGGGCGTCCCCAGAGTGCTTTCCCGAGGATTGAGGAAAGTTGAGACTTGAGCAAAGGTAGGAGCTAGCCAGGCAGAAGAGAATGGCATCTCAGGCAGGGGCAACAGCCGGTGCAAAGGTCCTGAGGCGTGACCCGGGGTGGCCAATCCAGCCAGGAGGCTGCCGTGGCTGGAACCCAGGGAGTCTGGGGAAGAGTGGAAGGTGAGGACATCCCCAGCAGGGGGCACTGTGGGACAAGGGTGGTGAGGAGAGGTGGTGCTTAGAATAGGTACAGTCTGGGAGGCTGGAGCCCTCGGGTTGAGCCATATTAATGTCCCTGGAAGTGACTTTCCGCCCTGCTCTGGGCCTAGATTCCCTGCCCCCCGCCCCAGACAAATAGATGCCCAGAAGTGGGCAGCAATGGACCAAAGCTGCCCTCAACCCACCTCCAGGCCTTTGTACAAGTGAGTCCTTCCATCCAGAACATTCTCTTCTCCACTGCCGCCCACTCCCATTCCACTTTCGGTCCTAGCTTAGACGGTGCCTCCCCCGGGAAGCTTGCCCTGATTGCTCCTCCTCCCCAGCCCCAGGCCCGTGCAAGGGCACTCCCTGGGTCCCCACAACGTCTAAGCTTCCTCTACTGGGGCACCGATTACTCAGTGTTGTGGTTGCCTAGTCGCGTCATGCTTACAGTAGATGTTTAATAACTCCTGCGTACCCCTACACCCCCACCCTGTCTGAGAAGCTCCCCGCCACTGAGCGGCCTCCAGCCCGCGTTTACATTACCCCGCCGGCCGCCCGGCGCGGGGCCTGGCGGCCGGCCCGGTGTAAACATTTACACGGAGCGATGAAAGCCGGGCTGGACGACGGTCAGCGCCCCGGCTCCGCGGCGGGGTGCTGGGACGCCTCGGGCCACACAGGCTGACCTGTGCGCTACCCAGAGCAGTTCATTGCGTGCTATTTGCATTTCATTTGCGTGTGATGTGCCAGTGTCGGCGGAGGGGGGCGGGGCGTGGTTAAGAGCAGTAAGTTTGGAACCGCCTCTCCCCCCGCCCCAAGGATGCACCCGCACAGGACCTGCACCAGACAGAAAGTAACGGAGAACGCTTGTTAACCCCGTTGTGTGCCAGAACCGGTGCTGGGCCCAGGAAGGAGGCATTGTAACCTCCATTTTACAACTGGAGAAACAGGCACGAAAGAGAGGCTTGGTCAAGGGCACAGCTAGGAAATGATCTAGAGACTCATACCCGGATTCTTTGTCACAGTGCTCCACGTGGGCGGAGCAAATGCTCTGGAGTCATTCTGAGGACCTGCCACTGTTGGTGGTATTGCATTTTTTTTTTTTTTTTTTGCATGAGGCATGCAGGATCTTCTCCAGCCAAGTGATGGAACAGGTGCCCCTGGCATTGGGAGCGCAGAGTCTTAACCACTGGACTCCTAGGGAAGTCCGTGGTGGTATTTGATACTGCTGTTATTATTACTGTGGTGATAATGTTATTACTGTCAGTGGGGTGATGGATAATGAGGGTCCCAACCTGGGGCCATGTAAACAAACCCTGGGCCAGCCTGGAGTGCTGTGGACACAGCATGTGCAAAGGCCCTAGGGCAGGGCCATGCTTGGCTGGTTGAAGGAATCATCAAGACAACCCCATGTCGCTGGAGCAAAGTGAACAAGGGGAGGTGAAGGCAGGGAGGTGAGGAGGACAGGTTGTGCAGGTCATGCAGCCTTGTGGGTTGGGAGAAGACTTCATTCTCAAGGTTGTGCAGCAAACAGGTCAGTCTTGGCATTTATCAAGTGCCCAAACCCACCGCCTTTACTCTTAATGAGCCCCTACTTGATGCCAGATCCCATTGTACAAATTTAATGCACATTATTAAGTCATTTTAACTTCACAAGAGTCCTTATTCCCATTTTACAGATGGAAAAACTGAGGCCCCGAGTGGCAAAGTGACCTGCCCGGGGTCACAGAGCTAAGAGGAGAACTCTGGTGGCCTCACCCACCCTGGCAGGGGGAGACAGGGAAACCCCCCAGGTGCAAGACCTCTGGTCGTCACACCCAATTCTTGGAGTGGTGTGCCTCAGTTTCCCTGTTAGATTGGAACAAGGTCCCTGTACAGCACTAGTATAAAACAGGGGGCTGAAAGGATAGATGGGTCTCCAGCCCTGAGATGGCCCAGCCACAGGAGCCCCTGGTGGCCTTGAAGCTCCAGACCTCCTGGAGCTCTGAGGGGGATGGGAAAGCAGGGGACTGCTGGTGGAGGGGAACTGGCAGGCACAGCTGATAAGCATCTGCAACAATGGGCCTTTCTGTATGGGGGTCACCCAACTGGTTTGTCTCTGGCATGGACCTGATGGGGAGCGGGTGTGGCGGAGGGCATGGAGGAGACCAGGTGTGCATGATCTGTGTGCTTGTGTCATGGGGAAGGTGGGCACTCACACAGCACACTTGGGGGTTCATATTCACACCCAGCCTTCCCAGACTCACACACACTGACTCACTCAGCACACGTGTGTGCGCACACACACACTCTCTCTCATGTGTGCCCAATCACTGTTGCATGCACACTTTCAGACACTGCCCAGCTCACACATTCCAACATGCTCAGATGCCATCCTGCTTACACACTCAGTGGTCTCACTCACCCTCAAACAGAATTCCACTCACATGCTTGAACACAACCACACACTCAGGTGTTTTCCCACCTAGAACATGACCACACACTCAAACATCATCACACCCTCACACCTGAACATCACTGCACTCACATGCTAGCATGTTTCATACTCTCACATGTAGGCATTTTACTCACAAACATAGCATTCAAGCGCTACCACTCACTAGTATTTGCACACACGCACACACATCCTGATTTGCCCTTGGGAGCTCCCCTGATCACACCCCTTACACTCTCTCATGCCCATGGGAGCTTTCACACACCCTTGAGACTCACACTCCCACACAAATCAAGCACCTGCACACTCAGACACATATTGTCTCTTGCACACTGACACAGAGAATGGGCACGCCACACACGTGCCGCCTCCAAGCCATCCCTTGAGGACTTGAACTTGTGCGTGCACAGGCATGCCTGTTATCACCTGCATCCTATACTCCAGCCACACTCGTGCAAACAGGCGTGCAGACACAAACATCCTGCCAGTGCTGGGGGCCCTTGTCTGCAGATTCCAGGCGGCACTGAGCAGTGGAGCCACAGGAGGTTGCGAGTGGGGAGAGGGGAGTGTGGGAGCAGAATGACCCAGAGGAAAGGGCCTGCTCTGCCCACACCTGCTGGCATTTCAAGTGTCACCCATCTGCCAGACAGGACCTGGTCAGGGGTCCCCTCTCAAGCCAACAATGTCCAGACCCTGGAGAATCCTCATTGCCTAAGGAAGGGGGCATCTCCCTTCATGGGGGTCAGGTCAGTCTGAACTGCAGCAAGGATGACCTCTGGAATGACCTCAACTTCTAGCTGGAGGCCACAGAGTCCCCAGCGCTGGGAGGGAGGGGAAACTGCGGCTCAGAGAGGGGTGATGAACAGCCCGTAGACACACAGCCAGCTGGATCTTTCCAGTTATCCAAGGAGCAGACAATTAGGGTGAGGGTGTGGGGGTGTTCCTGGCAGCTTCTTTGATGGTGCCAGGAAACAATGTTCGTTATCTTGATGTCCCGGCAACGCTCCAAGTTTCCACCTTTCCACAGAGCTTCCCAGGGAACACCCACCAGGCATACCTGTTCCCAGGGTCACCAGCCTTCAGCCTGCGGAGCCGCCGGCCTCAGGGAGGAAGCTGCTTCATGCTTGTTCCCAGGGAGAGGTTGGAGGGGAGGGGAACCCTCCGCCCACCCATTCATCTCTCCAGTCTGGGAGAGGCATGCCTGTCTCCATCAGGCAAACTCCTACTCATCCTTCAAAGTCCCAGCTCCTATAGCCCCTCCTCCTGAAAGCCATGCCTGCTCCCTATCTATCCCCACAGCTGCAGGGTCTTCACTCTTGCCCAGCTCTGCCAGCATAGTGTGTGGATCCATATCTGTTTTTGCTGGACAGGAGGAGTTTCTGGAGGGACAGCCTGGGCTGGGTCCCCTCAAAGCAAAGATGGACATTGAGAATTCCATCCACAGTCACCAGGCTTTTGCCCGTGTGGTGCCTCCCTCCACTAACACTGTTCTCCCCTTGCACTTCACTCCCAGATCTGCCTCTGGTCCTCCTGTATCTCTGTTCCCCCAACTTCAGAAAGGGTCTGAGGAGGTCCGCCCCACACTATAGGAATGACCAGGTTGCATGTGGGGCTGTCATTGCCACCCACGGGCAGAACAAGCCAGGCTGGGAAGCCATGTGGGCAGTAGTGGGGTTGGCCACACCTGCGGGCCAGCCCCTGGAGAAGGGTGTGTCTGGATGCTGCGGCACCTGGGGTCCAGACAGCTGAACTCGCATCCATGTTCTGCCTCTTCCTGGCTGGATCACATGGCAAGGGAGCTGTGTGGCAAGCACACAGCTCCTCCCCTGGCAAGCTCCTCCCCTTCTCTGAGCCCCAGTTTCCCATCTGTACAATGGGCTGCCCAGGACACCTCCTCATCTGGAGGGCCATTTTTGTTCAGTGAAGTCCTGCAGGCCTGGCCAACGGCAGCAGCGGGGCCCAGGTGTCAGACGTGGGTGCTTGCACGCCCTTCTCTGTCTCCTCCATCAATCCTCCAGCTCTGGGGCTGGCAGCTGGGCCCATTCCCCGGGCAGCCTTGCTCATTTCATTTACCCCAGATGGCCCCTGGGGGTTCCCTAGGGATCTACTGATGGGGAAACTGAGGCCCCATTTCATGATGAGG